GCTAAGACTTGAACTCATCTAATCAAAGAGTAGAAGCTGACCCTCTGACCTGTGCTTCCAATCAGTGCTGGCAAACGCTGTTCAAGCCGGCACAGCAAGCTGCTGATGAGCAAGATACTGAGGAGGAATTCTACTTTATATATTTTACATCTATTACCTATACATATACATAATTAGGTTTGTATATATAGTGCTATATATAGCCATCAGTAGATATGTATGCAAGGCAAATACATTTGCCAATATATCAAATAATGAAGTTGCAGAAAATCACAGCCTGCTCCCAGGTAATTCATGAAGTGAAAAAGCCTGGAGTGACTGGATGAGTGTGTCAGCTTTGCTTTTTTTCTGCTCTACATTTCTGGTGCTTTATGAACTGCTTGGTAGTATCTGTGTGCACTTCTCTACCGACATGGCAAAATTAGATTAAACTATGTGTCACAGACACCACACTGTTAAACAATAATGGTGATTCTCTTGCGGCACATACCTTTTCAGCAGAACAGATGCCTCAGCTGTTATCGGATTAAGAGTATTTGGGTTCTGCTCCCAGTTACTCTCTGGAGATCAGACTGAGTATAACAAGGTGGCCAGGTTAACAATGTGAGGACGGAGGCACAAGGGTTTGCTTGTGGTGGGGTTTGACGTCTTTTGTGGTTCCACACACATCAGAATAAGCTTTCTCTCACGGGAAGAATATGTGATGAATTGTGTATGCTTCGCACAGAAAGTGGAGAAGTGGGGAATTTAAACTTCTTAGCTGTGTGTGATAGACCTAGCCAGTGAACAGCTGGTCGAGGGACTCTTTTAGCTCTAGGGGTGACAGCTTGCGTACTTGGGGGTGCAATAGGATTAGATAGCAATTTCTGTTTGTTTCAAAATAACTCTGCTCAGGAGGGTCAGGAATCTGGAGATGTAGGAATACATAGCTCACTGTTTGTTACTGTAAGTTTTATTGAACACTATGCTCTAATTAAAAAAAAAAAAAGCTTTTGGAATCAAATTTGACCTGAATATAACTCCATTGGTTTCCGCGTTCTTACACTAGGGATTAATTTGGCCCTTTCTACTTTTATGTAATGAGCTGATTGCCACAGTATCTTATCCTTGTTACACAATCGCCCTTGTCTGGCTGTGTCCCTGGCGCCCTGGGTCTGTGTGTGTCTTTCTAGATCTAGGGTCTCACCTTGACTGCGTGTGCCTAGTCCTACAGCCTCACCCTGACTACAGGTACATGCATGCTTGCCTAGGACTTACACTGCTATAGTGTATGTGTGTGTGTGTATACATGCATGTTCATTCCACATTCAAACGCTATGTACAAACAAGCATACACACAGGAGGGAATTTCGGGGCTCTTCCATTTGGCTGGCTGTATCCCTGCAGCGTTTGCTTTCACAAGGGGTAGGGGAGAGAGGTAAAGTTACTGTCAGAGATCTCATTTAAACAAGAGGGAGCATAGGAAAATACATTCTTTATTATTCTTCTGTAACAACAACCCAGAAATATAATATACCATTAAAAATGTTCTGTCTCATGCCAAAGAAACCTCCATTCAATCATTTTAGAAAATCTTGTTGCTCTCCCTCAAACAGTAATGAAAAGAAAAAGAAATTGCAAGTGCCATCTCTTCCCTGCAAGAACTGTGCCTGCCTGTGCCACGGGTGGGTGTGTGGGGAAGGGGAGCAGAGAGAGCAGAAGGAGTGGTTCTGGTGGCCTTGCCATCCCCTGTGTCACCCTGGCACATGTGGGACCTGCCTGCCCCAGAAGACCATTTCCTGAGGGCAGGCACCTGCATGTGGCATTGGTACACCTGCCTGCAGGAAAGGGTGGGTTCAGGGGGATTCCCCCCATGCCTAGCCATGCCTGCATGCCCGCATGACTGAATGGGAGCCCCTCTCCCCACACACCAGAGGAACCCATTGCCTGAGCACCTAAGGAGTGCTGGGTCTCGTTCTGTATCCAGCATTCCATGCTGGGTACCATGTTCCCTGGAGTGCCTGTGGAGAGGGCAGCAGCTTGGTCACGCTAGAGCAGCCTGTTTTCCAGGTGTGCTACAGAACAAAGTGAGAGTTTGTTTGCAAACAGTGATATAAAGAGGATGTTTCCCAGTGGACCCTGTTACCCTGCTCTATGCAGAAGAGAACAGGTCCTTATCCTGCCAAGCACAGTATTTGTTTTTCAGTGGAACTCCCCATAGCAGCCAGCCTTTATATTTCTTAGCAATTCTCTTTTCTCCACTTTCCTGTCTTCTCCTTTCCTGTGTGGGTTTCTAAACATAGCAGTCCCTTGTCTAGGGTTGAGATGAATCCAGACTTTCTGCCTTATAAATGAAAAGAAAAAGGAAAGGATGGTCAAGGTCATTATCAGCCCCACAACACAAGATATAGAAAATATTATTAGCAACAAAGAAAAATTGGTCAGGGTTGGAGGAGGTCACAGGAAAGGTGCAAGGAAAGAAGGATTTCACCCCTCTCAGCCCCTGTGTTGCCCTCTGCCTCCCTCCCATTCTTTTTACCTCTAGTCTATCCCCGTAAAAACAATCTCTTACTCTCTTGCTCGCTCTCTCACACACACACATACACACACACACATATATAGATCCCATTTGTTTTGTGCAATATTTCACCGTTATTTGATGCAATTAAAATATAGATCTATAAATATACTGCTCTGACTCAAGTCCCATTTCAAGTATGATTGAGGAGTCCAGTATGGTAAAGGGAGAAGTTCCCCTGAGAGGGAGGTTGGGGAGAGGTTTGGATCCAGCAGGCAGAGCCTAGTCCTGGCTTGCTGGGAATGTGGAGCAGCAGTAACACACATACAGAGTCTGCAGTGCACCAGTTCTGCCCTTCAGAGAGGGCTACGGTTGCAGCAGATGGGATGGATGGAGTGGCTATACAGTGCATGGGGGAAGAGTCCTTTCTCTTCACAGCTTGCCAGCCCCCCTTCTCATCCTCCTTTTCCCCACAAGCAGTGTGCTGGGAGTGGGGGTACACCGCACTTTTAGGTGGACTGCTTCTCCCAGTCCTTCTTCCAGGACAGCCTGGTCTTCTGCTTCCCGAAGAACAACCTCCTCTGTCCCACGCATCTCTGTGTCACAGGAAAATCATGCCAAGACAGTCCAGAGCATCCTGCTCTTTGCCTCTGGTGGCCCTGGGTAGTCCAGGAGGGGTTTTCCCACTCCAGGCTTTAATTAAAGAGCTGGCATTGTGTGCCCACGGGTCAGTACAACCGACTGTTGCAGACCAGAAGGAGCGAGGAGCTGGCGCGCCTCATCTCCGCAGGGGTCCAGCTGCAGAGCAGGAGTGCTGGGAGACCTCTGGAGGCATCGGGATGCAGCTGGGGCAGGGGGAAGGGGGCCCACCTGCAGTGCGTGCTGAACACAGGTTGCCAGTGAAACACCCTGCCAAGCTGGGCTGGCCGCCAGCTTGTTTCCTGATGGCAGGGATCATGCCGTCCACAGGCACTGTGGATGCACGACCTCCGGTGTCATCTTCCTCGGCCAGGCATACCCGCTGTGATGGGTTAGAGCAGGTTACCATGGCAATGTGTGCTCTCCCCTGGAAACAGCGTTTTATCCCACTTCCAGTGATACAATATGAGTCCTTACGTTGAATTCCTTTCATTTTTTTTCCCCTCTCACTTTTTTCTTTAATTCTCCTGTCAGGTCAGGAAGAGCTAAGACTAACAGGAGGCACTGCAGTCTGAGGGCTTTGAAATCTTGTCAGGGGAGGTCACCCTACGTGACAGTGGCAGTGTTGTACAGTTGTGTGTGCGGGTAACCTGTGCAGCTGTGGGTGGCTACAAACACAGCAGTGATGGTGAGGGGAACATACGTGGGCTGTGCTCTCTACTGTGCCAGATCCTTCCTGGGCTCTCCCACCTGTGCTGCACTGTGGTCCAGGTTTCAGCCTTCATTCACCTCGAGACCCTTCAGAATTGTGCTCTATCTCTTCAGCCCTATTCCATATGCCACGCTTGCCCCTCCACCCACCACTCCAGCTCTTGGTTTGTGTGTCATCTTCTTCTCCTAAGCTCACACTACTACTCAGCATGGCTTACACTACTGAGGCTGGTAAGTCACCTCCTTCTCTAGTCTTTCCTGATGACCCAGTTTTGCTCTGCCAATCAAACATTTCCAAATGGAGGCTTCATATCCTTGCCCTCTGCATTTATCATAGAAAACATAAAATAGAAAATAAGAACACACCTTATTTTTTCCATGCTGTGTACACAGTTCCATGGACTCATGCTGTAACCTTAATAATTTTGCCCCTTCTCTGTCCGCTCCTGCCCTTTTCCACTGGCTCTTCACTATGGCTGAGGTGCTTCTGTTGGTTCCTCAGTGGCAGGGTGCATGGATTTTGTCTGAGCCTGAAGGTGCTATGCACCATTATGATGAGGATGAGGGAAGGTGGCTGAATGTATCCACGGCTGCACGCAGAGGGCAGGTCAGCGTGGGCATGTGTGACTGGGACCAGCATGAGTCAGTAAGTGTGTGCGCACAGGAGAACAGCTCTGTAGCTGTGCACCTGTAACAGATGATGTGTGTGTGTGTTTGTGTCAGCCTACAGCTTTGGACCTGGACAGGAGCAAAAAGAGGGACACTGCTCCCTGGCAGCATTTTAGAGTGACACAGACATCTTTTCACCTTTAGAAGTGAGAAGGGAAATCTCCCTTTGACTGTTGTCATCTCCTAGGGACTTTACCTCCTTTCTGATGCTCTCTCAGCAGCACTGACTTGTAGGGTGGGCAGCAACTTACTGTCACACAACAGCTGTGACCCCAACAGCCAGCCATGGACACTTCTGATGTCCTGCCCCTCACACAAGCTTTCACAGACCCGCTGCCTCTGTTTGCAGAGAGCTCTTGACAGAATACTGGACGACTCAGGACTGAAGCTGAGAGGATGACACAGGTTCCCAGAATCTGCCAGCTGCCTCCACAGCAGACATGTGAGGGAAGCTCTGTGCAAGGGCATGAGGCACAGCAAGCACTCGAGGTCTGACTCTACTTTATTTGTCTGGGAGGGCCCAAGGGTGAAAGGGCACAAAATGGGCCTGGGGCAGAGGAACAGAAAATGAGCCAGGTGCCCTGACCCCCCAGAAGCATGTTGCACTACTTGGGTGAGTGGAGCAATAGCACAGTCTGTCTGTCTGTGAAGATGTATTTGGGGAGGACCCCATGCTTGACTGCTCTCAGGTACCTTTGTTCATTGCTGTCCCTTCCTTCCTAGAAGAGTTTCATGCCACAGAAGAGATTTGTTTTTGCTCTTCATGTTCACCTTCTGTGTCACCCATGAGCGGCTGCCTCTTCTTCAGCTCCCGGTGGTACTTGGCCATGAGGGAGGCATAGATGCAGCCGTAAGCAGCTGCCACCACCATCATGATGCAAACAATGCCGCAGACAACCCCTGCGATGATCACAGTGCCGATAGCCCGGCGCACGCTCACGGGCCGGTAGCGCTGTTTCTGAGGGCATCCCACACTGGGCTCCACTTCTGTTTCTGGGCCCGATTTAGATTTGGTAGGAGTCGGGCTTCCTTTAGTGCAGGGTGGGCCAGTATTGTCCAGCACCGTAGAGCTGTTCTCATCATCCAGCTGGGAGCAGTAGTTAAACATTTCCATGGGCACCATCCGCATATCCTTCCCTTTCAGCTCCTTGGGCAAGGTACAGGCCAGCTGGTCGATTTTCCCACCTGTCCCAACAGAGATAAAGGAGTGAACCACAGCTTCACCCTGACGCAGTGACAGCACAGCTAGATCCTCAAGTGGAGTGGGTTCCTATGATACCATTGACACCTGTGAAGGATTTGCCCTACAGAACTCAGGCATAGCAGCTTTATGGTTGTCAAGTGGGGAACTGCTTTGCTACAACAGTAGGGCTATAAAATTCTGACCCTCGTGCATGAATGCATTGCTGAGTAGAGAGGGTATTCAGAGAGCTTCTCCCATCCCCAAAAGGCAGCCATGATCTGGTGCAAGGTGTTTCTAGAGTTCAAGGGTGACACTGAAGTCAGGAGGTGCTGCAGACTCCCATGTCCTGACAGATCCTCAGTGCTTGATAAAGATGGAGGAGAGGAAGGAGTGGCTGCACCTGGATGCACGAGGCAGAAAGAGCACATGTGGTATCCTTTGAAATGATTGTTTTGCCTAGCTTTGAGACATTTTGCCTGCCCCAGCCCTGCACAGCTGAAACAGCTTCTTCTGCCTAGGCTGGATTTGACAGTACAGTGCTCATAGTGCATGATATCTGCATAGGCATCTTTCAGGCCAAGACATGGAAGCCCTCTGAAACCATCAATTAAGTCAGCCTCTTACTGTTTAGTGAGTTATGTAAGTGTCAGTAGAACCATTTAAGAAAAGGAGAAATTAAAACAAAAAGATAGGACCAGGCTGTATCTTCTCAAAATAACAACAGACACACAGTCCCATCTTCTGACAACTAATCCATCCCCCCTCTGTGAAAATAGTGACAGATGTTGAAACAAATGCTTGAGAGAGTTTGGGCAATTTCTTTGGAAGAGGGAAAAAAGGCAAAATTAACTCCATGTGCTTTCCATCGACTCTGTGATATGAAAGTCAAGAAAGAAAGCAACCCCCAAAAAAAGGGAAGTGGCACTCGTGTGCTTGTTTGATTCTGCTCACACAAATGCATATTTCAGACTGCAGCATAGCCACGGGCGTAGCTAATCCCTCTGCAGCAGGGCTGTGATGGGCAGGGATGTGACAGCTGATGGCCGCCACCCGCCTGACTGGAGACCCTTTCCTCCGCACGGGCTCTGGCGACAGAAGGTCAGGCCTTCAGTCGTCATTCCTGGAAAATGGGCCATCTCTCTGTCAGCCACAGCTCCTGAAAGCCT